CACTAGCTACCTTAGGCAACATCTCATCCCAGTTAATCTGATCTGGTCTAATGTACATGCGCAGAACTTGCTGTAGGATCTTGTTCATCTGTTCTGTCTGACCGTTAGTCTCTGGGTGACGGTCGGACGACATTAACAACTTAGATCCGTAGACTCTCATGAGTTCTTGCCAGTTCTGGCTGGTGAAACGACTGTCTCTATCACTAACTATTGACACTGGGATTCCATTCTCACTAACCCAAAAGTAAAAAAACTTCTGTATAACTAAGTCCGTACGTGCCTCTGCAGGCAAAGGGACGAAAACTGCATATTTACTAAAACGGTCCACTGCGACCATGACTTGGCTCTTAGCATGTCTACTCTTGACTTGGGTGTCCATGAAGTCTATGGACACGGAGTCTCCCGGCTGATCCGGAATAGGCAAGGGTCTGAGAAGACCTAGGGGCGCGCGTGTAGTAGACTTATTCCTCTAGCACACTTTACAACTGCGGACATACTCTATGCAGTCATTCTTCATCCTTGGCCAGGTATATGCACGCATCAGGTTGGCTAATGTCTTTTGCCAACCAAAATGCCCCTCAGTATCGTGGCATTCCCCTAGAATCAAACTGGGGATCTCTTCGCTGTTGGGAACGCACAGGCGGTCAAACACATTAGTCTTCTCAAACAACAACCCGTCTGTAGTGCGGTAATCTCGTTCGGTCTTTGGGGCCTCTCTAACTCTTTTTAGGAGGTCGCTATAGATAGGGTCCTGCGCATATGCTTGCCTCACTTTCTCCTGCAGGTTTCTCCCTATATCCAGATAGTGTACCACAGCTCCAAAGTAGTCTGATCTCCTACTCAGAGCATTCGCAACTACGTTGTACTTGCCCTTCACTGGCTTGAGCTCAAAGTCGAATTGGTCTATCTCTACGGCCCACCTAGTCAACTTAGGTGTCATCTTGGCCTGGGTCTTTAGCCAACGAAGTGTCTCATGGTCAGAATACACTTTGAAGTGCCTCCCAAGCAGATAATGCTTCCAATGGTCTAAAGTCTGCCTGAGAGCGTAGAGTTCTCTCTCGTACGTGGAGGTAGCGACCTTCTCACAGAGCATCCTCGCTGACATGAACTCTACGGGTCTATAGCCATTGTCGTCGTCTTGCTGCAACACGGCGCCTATCCCATACTGACTTGCGTCCGTGGTGACAACAAATGGCAAAGACGGATCTGCAACTTTGAGGACAGGATACTCTATTAACGCGCGCTTTAACTTCTTGAGCGCAAACGTACAGTCTTTGTCCCATTGCCAGATTGCCTCTTTCTTGAGCAGTCTGCGCAAGGGGGCGGCGATAGTGGAGAAGTTCCGCACGAACTTCCTGTAGTAGTTAGCTAAACCTAGGAACGACCGCAACTCTGTCAATGTGCGGGGCGTCGGCCAGTCTCTAATCGTCGCGATCTTACTGTCCTCTGGCTTAATGCCATCTCCGTCCAACACGTGGCCCAAGTACAAGACTTGCGTCTTGGCCCACTCGCACTTCTTCGCATTGATCTTGAAGTTAGCCTCTCTAAGCTTCTCCAAGACCTGCCTCAGATGACCCTGGTGCTCTTGGAGGGTCTTACTAAAGACTAGGATATCATCTAAATAGACTACTACAAATTTGTCTAACCATGGTCTAAACAGGTCATTCATATAGTGTTGAAAAGTAGCTGGCGCGTTGGTTAGTCCAAAGGGCATCACTATGAACTCATAGTGCCCGTATCTAGTCCGGAACGCAGTCTTGTACTGATCGTCAGGATGGACTTCTATCTGATGGTACCCGGACTTTAAGTCTATCTTAGAGAAATACTTACAACCCTGCACCCGATCTAAAAGATCGTCTATCCTGGGCAACGGCTCAGCATTCTTCACTGTGATCGCATTCAAACCCTTATAGTCTATACACATGCGAAACTCTCCTTCCTTCTCGGGGACAAACAAAACTGGCGCTCCAAAAGGAGACGAATTGGGCCTGATCCAACCTTTCTCAAGGAGTTTGTCTAACTGCTTGCGAAGCTCCTCTAACTCTCCAGGGGACATCATGTAGGCTGCACCCTTAGGAGTTCTACTGCCAGGCTCTATCTCTATCCTATGCTGGATGGGTCGCGACACTATTCCTGTCGGCGACTCAGTCAAGTCTTTGAATTCTTCTAGCAGCTTGGCAATTGTTGGATCTGTGGAACTATCTTTTTCCTGGGCCTCAGTGACAGGTCTAACATTAACTACAAAGACCTGGTCTTCTAACTGCTCCTTTTTGACTAATCGCGCGAACGCGGGAGCACTGAGACAGCAATGTGCCAAGGTGTTATCTACACCCGACACATGGAACAAGCGGGCAGTCTTAACTTCGCCTGCCGGGCTAGGGAGTCTACACTCATGCTCTCTCAAATGAAGTGTGGCCCCTGCTGCCGCTCCCTAATCCATTCCCAACACTATATCAAAAGGAAGGTCATCTTGCACGAGGAGAGTCAAAGAATGGAGGACCTTCTCCACTCTTCCATTCTTCTCTAGGCGAAAGTACGCCTGGACTCCTTCTACGTAGTCCTCAACGCGCATCGTGCGGTTGTCTGCGAGGACACTGACTATGGGGTCTACTAGTTTGTGGACCTTTAGTCCTAGCCTCAGCTTCTTCAGCGCCCTACGGCTAATGTAACTACGGGTAGCCCCTGAGTCTATAAGGGCTCCTACTCTACTTTTGAACACCTCTACATCTACCAAAATCAGTTGTCCCTTACTCTCCCTTTTCATTTTGGCCCAGGCTAGCATTCTCTCATTTAACTCTTATGCCACACCTGTGAGGGACGTGCCTAAAGAGACGCTAACACAAGCAGTCTCTGGACAGCTATCTAGGCACGGGCCTGCAACCTCTGCCATAGGCTCATGTGGGTTGGGAGTGTCCTGTTCGCGCGCGCTCACTTCTCCACATGGCCTGGAAGTAGGGGCAGTTGCGACCCCTACTGGCGGCTGCCTTTTGACTGCTGAGCAGCCCAACGGGCCTGTCTATACTTTGGACAAAATTTTATTACGTGCGTCGGGTCACCACAGAATACGCACTGACCCATGTTCATGCGTTCCTGCCATAATCGTTGGTCCAAGCCCAAGTCTTCCAAGGGCCTGCTCTGCGGCAAGCCTGGGTGTCATCCTCCTTGAGGTGCCCTTCCACCTCCTCGTTGTGGGGACCGGGTACCCTGGCGATTTAACAGGGGACCTTGACCCCTACCTCTCGCTTGCCGGTTTCCCTGTCCGCCAACCCCCTGTGCGCCGGTCCTCGGCCTCCCATGGCCAGGCCCCTTTGGCCTTGGCCTCCTCCTCTACCTTGCGGCCTCCCTCCGGCCGCGACAGCAGCGTAAGACCTCCCCTGCCCTACACTACTGTACTCCTCCCCTAGGCCCCACTCAATCTGAT